CAGAGCAATGTATATGAATTAGCTCTATTTAGCCACTCCACAATGAATGTATGTTCCTACCAAGAGGATCCTAAGGAGACATGGAGGTTGATCATGGGGCCAGGTGGAAGAGGATCTCATTGTCTTGTTTGGAGATACAGCAGAAGCTGAATGCACAGTGGCAGTGGATGACCTCAACGAAAATTCCTTATACAATTCCTGTATAAGATGTTGCTTGATATTGTCCAAAAAGAAATGGGCTATTTATGTTGTTGGTGGTAATGTTCTTTTTTAAAATTTATTTTTATTTTATTGCAAAGGTGATGTACAGAGGGGTTACAATTACATGAACAAGATAATGAATACATTTCTTTTTAAACATTGTTACCACCTCCCTCATTTTCTCCTACTTACCCCTCCCTACAACCCTCTCTCCACAAATTGTATAGTTCATTTCACAGTGTCAAGTGAGTATCATTGTTGCATTAGTTCATCCTTTGTCCTGCTGTTTATTTGATTCCTTTTCCCATCCTTGGATCATAATCAAGAGTACAGAAAATTAAAACGGGGAAAAAAGGAAATAACTGCATTCAGAACACAAGAAAAACCTCTTGTTCCCAATTCTTGGAGTTCATGTTGATACAATTTATTACATATGGCCCTATGCCCTTACCAATTGGGTTATTGAGATCCCCTGTTAAGACTATCATAGACATATTCTAGTTATTACAAATGAAGGAAACCATGCAACCTACTCTTCTTTGGGCCTGGGTTACTTCACTTAATATGTTTTTTTTTTCCAGGTCTTTCCATTTCCTTATGAATAGGGCAGTGTCATTCTTTCTGATAGAAGCATAGCACTCCATTGTGCATATATACCACATCTTCTTAATCCACTCAGCTACTGAGGGGCATCTAGGTTGACTCCATATCTTAGCTATGATAACAATGCTGCAATGAACATGGTTGTGCTGGTAGCTTTTGTATGGACTTGTTTGTGGTCATTGGGTAAATACCCAGGAGTGGGATTACTGGGTTTTAGGGGAACTCTATGTTTAGTCTTTTGAGGAGCTCCATACTGCTTTCTAGAGTGGCTGAGCAAGTTTGCACTCTCATTAACAGTGTAGTAGCATTCCCTTTTGGCCACATCCCAGCCAGCATCTTTTGTTATGTTGGAGTGTTTTTTTTTTCTTTTTCTACTTATAGGAGGAACGGGACGGGCAAAGAAAGGTAGGGTGGAAGAGTGAACAAATGCAATCATGGTCTTCACTATACACTATGTGGGAAATGAATTATGCAACTTGTGAGCAGGAACAAGACGGGAAACAGGGAGAAAACAAAAGAAGGATATACGCAATACCTGAATTATAAAATAGTAACCACTTTGTACAACACCTTAATGATAACAACAAAATTCAAGTGATAAAGCACCTGCTTAGCAAGCACAAAACCCTGAGTTCAAACCACAGTAACATCAAATGTACAGACATATGTAGGTAAATTCAAACTCTGGCTTATCAATACCCATAGGACATAGCTTTATATAAGAGAAATTTCTTTTTTTTTTGTCCAGAAGCGAAAGATCTATCTTTCTTGATATAGATTTTTTTGTCAGTTGTGGAGGCTGAACTCTGGGCCTGGACACTGTCCCTCAGCAATTCAACTCAATACTAGCGCCCTATCACTTGAGCCACAGCACCACTTCTGGCTTTTTTCTGCTTATGTGGTGCTGAGGAATCAAACCCAGGGCTTCATGAATGCGAGGCAAACACTCTACCACTGAGCCAACTTCCCAGCCTATCTAGATATAGGTTTTATAACCATAAGCTACATAGATATTAGTCAAGCATGGGAACTATTTCTTCTCACTAAGCAAGATTTTCCCATGGGAAGCTAGTTTTACTCTTGAATTAAAGAAATCCCTTCCACAAGTGACATTTTTGTTGCTGATTTTTTGTTTGTTTGGTTTTTCCAGTCCTGGGGATTGAACTCAGGGCCTGGTACTATCCTTGAGTTCTCAAGGCTGGTGCTTTACCACGTAAGCCACAGTGTCACATCCAGCTTTTTTTTTATTGTGAAAATACTGTACAGAGGGGTTACAATTACATGGGCAAGATAGTGAGTACATTTCTTATCAAGCATTGTTGCCTTCTCTTTTGTTTCCCCTTCCCATCCCATCTTCACCCCTCCCCCCCACCCTTATTTGCAATAACTAGTATATGTCTGAGTCAAGCAGAAAAGGTCAGATAAGTTGATGTTAGAGAAATGAACCCTAAGATATGTATTCAAATGTTTTTTTTTCTTTCATGTGATTGTTTCTAACACATTTATAAGATTATTTTTTGTTGCTTTGTATGTCCCTCCCCCACAGTATAACCCCTGCTTTCAGCTTTTTATTTGGGGGGGGTAGTTTATTGGCAATAAGAGTCTCATGAGATTTTTCTGTATGGGTGGCTGCCTTTTGAACATAGATCCTCAGACCTCAGCCTTCTGAGTAGCTAGGATTACAGGCATGAGCTAGCAGTGCCCAGCTCAAAATTGATATTTAAAAAGAGTCATTACAATTGCACCCCAAAATACAATAAAAAAGTTGTTACAGTTTTTGACAATTTTAGGATTACAATTCTAAATTTATCCTAAGACCATGGAGCAATTGTCAGTGAAATGTTATTTTACATTGTTTTATCTGCCAAGAGTGGAAATAAAATGAATGCCACATATAATAGGTGTCGATCAATATACACCAGTGTGGATGAATGTTGACAATTTTCTGAAATGATTCTAGTTTGTGATTTTTGTTTAAAAGTTTGCAAAGATATCTAAGCAATGAGTAGCAGTGATTGTTTTTAGGTGATACAATTTTAGGCTGCTCTTAATCATCAGACATATGCTTCCCTACATTAACATTTTTTGATGGCATTAAAGATGCAACTCAGGCCTCACACATGCTGGGCAAATGCTCTACTATCACCCCAGCTCCTGCATTAAAACATCTTCTGTTGTTGTTGATGATGATGGTACTAGGATTTAAACACAGTGCCTCGTGTTTGTTAGGATATTAACTCTCTTTATAAAAGTATGCATCATTTGTTTAATGGGAAAAATGACACATATAAAATTATAATTGTAGGCTATCATGTGTAAGATATATGTTGTAACAGAGGTTCAGTGAGGTCTCAGAATAATAGGATGTCTAATGAGCATCCTATGTATTAGAAATAGTACACTGAGATTCTTTTCTGTGACTGGTCAATGAAATCTATTAGGTTGAATTCTTGATATATATGTATGTATCTGATATACAGAAAAGTATTTACACACAAATATACACACATCTAGCTAGCTAGCTAGCTATATCGTTCAAAGTCCCTGTGAAAATGTATACTTATGTAAGTCATTACACAAAACATATTGATATAAGTTAAACCCCTCAAGATTCTTGTAGTTTACATTAGGCTCTACTCAACCCAGGACACTAGACCCTTGGCTTGGGCCCAGACTTTCCCTAAGGGAACAATCTTTTGACAGCTGGGATTTTATGCCTTAGTTCCGTACACTCAGCAGGTTTGAGTTACCATCAGGAACTGGGGTTGTGAACTGTCCCACACCTGTCATTTCACATCTGGAACTTCAGTCAAGTTAAAATTCCTCTTCTGGAGAAGTGCTACTACGTTGGTGTGCACTGGCTCTCCCACCAGGAAAGTGCCTCCTCCTCCCTCCACACTTTTATCACCTAAAGCTTTTTGCTGTTTCACACCCTGTTTCATTGTATTCTACTCAGCCCACTGTGGTTACACTTGCTGTTTTCTGATCTCTTCCTCCAGGTCCCAGAAACCCAATTTTTTCTTTTTCTTTTTCCTTTTTATTGATTTATTTGCTTTTATTTATTTTTATTTTTTTATTGTGAAAATACTGTACAGAGGGGTTACAATTACATGGGCAAGATAATGAGTACATTTCTTATCAAGCATTGTAGCCTCCTCCTTTGTTTCCCCTTCCCATCCCTTCCCATCCTCCTCCCCCCACTTTTTCTTTATCTTTTTCTTTTCCTTCCTCTCTGTCTGTCTCTGTCTCTGTGTGTGTGTGTCTCTCTCTCTTTATTGGTTGTAGGGTTTGAACTCAGGGCCTGGGCACTGTCACTGAGCCTCTTTGTGTTCAAGGATAGCTCTCTGCCATTTGAACCAAATCATCACTTCCTGCTTTTGAGGAATCAAATGAAGATAAGAGTCTCACAGGGATTTTTCTGCCTGTGCTGGCTTTGAACTCTGATCCTCAGGTCTTAGCTGCCTGAGTAGCTAGGATTACAGGCGTGAGCCACCGGTGCCCAGCTTCAGAAATCACGTTTTATCCACTTCATCAGAATGAACCTCTCAATGCTACCTTTTACATTTTATATTTTTTTATTTTCTTAAGCAAGAAAATAATAAGTAAGTAATAACCAAATACTTAAGTAAGACAAATAAGTAAGTAGCTTAAATAATATTTATTAATCCATATCTTTCCATCTGGAGTGTGTCTTGCTTTCTCGACGAGATTATAAGATTTATTAGAGCAGGGTCAAACTTCCCATTCATATCTGCAAAAAGAAAGGCCGGTACACACCAAGGGCTCAATCTAAGTTTGTTGCATCGCAATCCGGGTGTTAGACTCCTACCATCGCCAAGGTGGATGACTTTGAGGACCCAGAAGGCCAGTCTCTGAGAGCATATCAGCTGTCATGAGAGGAAAGGAGGAGGAGCAGAGTCTTAGGGGCCTTGGTGCCTGAGCAGGGCTTCAAGAGTCACAGAAATCACAGCCGTGATCCAGGCACAACTTCAGGCTTGCTGAGCCTATTGGTGAGTGGGAGAGAAAAGCAGAAAAGCGGCTCTGCCTACTTCTCGCCTCTCCAGTGCTGGGGACCAGGAAGTTATTTCTCAACCCAGACGGAAGGTGGAGGTCCTGGGCTTCCGAGTGGAATTAGTGCAAGGCATTAGGTGGGGGAGAGACGGCTGTACGTGGGCTCCACCCCTCCATCTGGTCCCTTAGCATTCCTCCTCTTGGCAGTGGTAGGTTGTGCCCCCGCTGACGCAGCGGGGCTGGCGGCGGGCTCTCTTGGGGCAGGCTGCACACTGAGCAGCGGTGCTTAGGGGACAAGAAGAACGGTCTCCTGAATAGGGCTCTGCACAGGGAGCAGAGCAGGGGGGCAGGCACTGCGCATGTGGACATTGAGGTGGGGAGCATTGGAGAGCATCTGGGGATTTTGCAGATGGCTGCTTCTGCTGGGACATGATTCTGCTACTACAGCAAACCTGGAAGAGAAAGGGAAGGCGGGTAGGTCAGGGATGCACGCAGGCAACTTGAGCACCTGGGTCTCTCCTCTTCAATACCTGGAGCTGACAGCAATGGCCCTTAGCACAAGCAACCCTTTGGAGTCCATCCATGGACAATGAATGATGCATTTAAAAGGCCTGATTACTTGGGGGGTATATCTTCTGGTGGAATTTCCTATGGAGCTCATTTAGTCAACAACCAAGCTAATAGCCTACTCGTCCTCTTTAAAAAGAAAAAGAAATTGAAGTGTCAGTTCATGTTTCCCAGGCTGATGTCCACCATGGTCAAGCACCTATGACCACCGGTATCCATCTGTTCTTTCTTCACTCAGTCTTCTAACTTGAGACCCCCCCTCTCCCAAGCCTTAGTATCTCTCTTTTGCTTTGCTGGCCATCTAGCCCCGATGGATCATTTTTGGGTCTTTTGCAGGGACTTCCACTTCCCTGCCTTGCTCCCTTCCTCCTAACTTTTCCTACTTGGCTTAAGGCCTCTGTGGAGACAATAGAGGAGATTGACTGCCTTAGTGACATCTCTTCCCCCAGAAGTAGCCTTACCTTAGATCAAGAAGAGTGATCAAGCCATCCCAGGAGGAGACTGGAAGCCTCAGGGAGCCAGGAAGGCAGAGGCTTTTTTATACAACCTCCACATGAAGCCTCCAGGCTACCTCTTATTGGAGGGTAGCCATGGGACAAATGAGCGATGCGGATATTTCACAATTCCTAAGGCCAGATTCCTCAGCTACATACAGCAGCTGGGATGTGGTTCTGTGGGATTTACATGTGAAGGGTAGGACCTTTAGATCAGCTTGGGTGGAAGTGAGTACACTGGCTGAGTCTTGTGACATGGGTGTGCAGCTAGAAATTTAATTGCTACTGATGTAGGATTATGGAGGAAATGTCAAGTTTAATGGTACCCAGATTTTGAGGAAGACCATCAGACAGAATCTCCACAATTTAACATCAGCTGGATGCAGGCATTGGTCCCCAAGGCCCTTGCCTGGCTCCTTGGCCACATCACAGGTCTTCGTTCTTGGGACTTGGTTATAATCTATTCTAGTTACTGTAGGCAACAGTGACCTAGATGCATATCTTATCTCTCTCCTAAACTGTTTCTGGATGACGCGGACTTTGTCATTATCACTTCTGCATTCCGAGAGTGTGATGCTGTCACTGACACAGAGAAAATGTTCATTCATGTTTGTTGAAGGAAACAGTCTTCATGCCATCAAGGTAAACTCTATGTTTCAGGAGAACAACACATAAAATCAACTCCAACTCATTTTTTGTGTTTTTTTGAGGGGGGGGGAATCAGGTGTTCACTTCTTGTTGTGAACAAGGCATTTGTGAACACCTTTTCAGAACCAGTAATGTATGGGTGAAACAAACCTTACACAATAGGCTAAGAGAGTAGGGCAGAGAATTAAACATGCATGATTCTGCTTTCTCTTAAACTCAAAAGAGGAGCTGTGTGTACGGTTATTAAGGAACACTGTTGAAAAGCTTTGATAGAGTGGAAAGTTTTCCTTCATCTTTCACAAAAATTTATGTTATTTTATGGTATTGTCTTAAAGTGGGAACACTAATTGTGTGTGTGTGTGTGTGTGTGTGTGTGTGTGTGTGTGTGTACTGGTACTAGGGCTTGAACTCCAGGCCTGAGCACTGTCTCTAACCTTTATGACTCAAGGCTAGTACTCTACCACACAGCTCCACATTGAACTTTTTGCTAGTGAATTATAGATAAAAGTTTCACAGACTTTCCTGCCCAGGCTGTTTTCACACTGTGACCCTCAGATTTTCAGCCTCCTGAGCAGCTAGTATTACCGGTGTGAGACACAAGCACCCAGTTATGGGAACACTTATCTACCAACAGTCCCTTTCCATCCCAGAATTTCTATTGATAGACACAGGTAATTAAAATGTGCTGATGATTCTCTCTCTGAGCTTGGCTTCACTTAATATGGTTTGTTTTAGGTCCATCCATTTCCCTGCAAATAACACAATGCGACTCTTTGTAACAGCTGTGTAAAATTCCTTTGTATATAAGTACCACATTTTTTGGGTCCACTTGTCTGTTGTAGGGCATCTGTTTAACTTGGCTATTGTGAATAGTGCAGTAGTGAATATGGAAGTGCATATGGCATCCTGGCTTGTAATGTTCTGGGTAGATGTCCAGGAGCAGAATGGCTGGGTTATAGGGAAGATCTATGTTTAGTTTTTTTTTCCTATATTTTGCGGGTTTTTTTGTTTTGGGGGGTATTTTTGGTCAATTGTAGGGCCTGGATGCTGTCTCTCAGCTCTTCAGCTCAAGGCTAGGACTCCACCATTTGAGCCACAGCACCACTTCCGAGATTTTCTGCTTATGTGGTGCTGAGGAATTGAACTCAGGGCCTCATGCATGCAAAGCAAGCACTCTACCTCTGAGCCACATTCCAAGGCCCCTATGTTTAGTTTTGAGGAACCTCCAGACTGCTGTCCAAAGTCATTTTACTAGTTTATATTCCCTCCAACAGTGCAGTAGGGTTCCTTTTACATCACATCCCTGCCAACACTTGTTGTTGTTTGAGTTCATGATGTTGGCCAATTTCACTGGGGTGAGATGGAATCTCAGAGTTATTTTGATTTGCATTTCCTTTATTGACAGAGTTGTTGAGCATTTCCTTGTATGTTTCTTTGCCATTCTTACTCTAAGAAGTTCTCTCCTTGGCTCCTTTGCCCATTTAGTGATTGGTTTATTAGCTTTGGGAGGGGTTAGTTTCTTGAGATCCTTGTATATTTTGGGTATTAGGCCTTTGTCGGTGAAGATGTATTGCTGATGAAGATCTTTTCCCAGTCTGTTGGCTATCTTTCTAATTTAGTAATTATATCTTTAGCTTTGCAGAAATGTTTTAGTTTGATGTAATCCCATTTGTCAAATCTCTCTCCTGCCTCTCTGCTGTGCCCCTGGGACTCTTTTCAAAAATTTTCTGCCTATGTCTGTAGGGTCTAGTGTTTTTCCTACTCCCTCTTGCAGTAATTTCAGTTTCAGGTCTGACACTGAGTTCTTTGATCCACTTTAGTCCATATTTGTGCATGTTGACAGAGACCTATTTTAAGGTGCATGTTTTCTCTCATATGCAGAAGATAGATCTAAAATACATCAGTACATAATAAATTGTGTAAGACTCTAGGCATTCACACACAGTGAGACCTAAGGAAGATATTAACAGGGGAGGAATACAAGAATACAATGCCTATGTTCTTCTGATGATATAAAATAATATATCAAAACAAACTCCAGGAAATGGAAACAAGAGATTTTTTTTCTTTGTTGTTGTTTTTCTTTTCTGTTTTTTCATTTTGTCTTGTTCATTTAGCTGTTTTTAAGAGGGTAAATGTGTGTGTGTGGGGACAGAAACAAAGGCAAAGGGTGAACAAATGCAGCAGTGATACTAGATACTATGTTGAAAATGAACTATGCAACTTGTAGGGGGAGGATTGGGAGGGAAAAATCAGGAGAGAGCAAGAAAGGGGTAACATTATCCGAAAAGAAAAGTACTCTTTACCTACTTATATAACTGCAGTCCATCTGTACATCATCTTTATAATAACAATAAAATTAAAAAATAATAAAAAATACAGAAACAAGAAAAATAAATAATTAACATTCAAAAGGGGGAAAAAAGGTATCACTGAACTCCCTGATGGTAAGGACTGTGTCTTGCCTACCTCTGTATTCCTAATATACCACACACACACACACACACACACACACACACACACACACACACACACAGGAAATAATTGAGAAAATATGAGAAGTAACAACTGATATTTGGTTGTAGGAGCAGTCTTCAGCAGCTGTCAAATCAGCTAGCAGACAAAGGCAAGTAGAGTTGGTGGGGGATGAGGGATAAGGATCTGTCAAAGCAGAAAATGGGGCAAAGCTGGAAGAGGAATTGCTGTTGGAGCCCCAAATCCAATAGGGCAGGATTATTAGGGTACACATACCTGTTTCATCTGGGAAGGCTTTGAGATGTGGTGTAGATGAAGAGAGAAAGATGTCTTTGTGAACAAAAAGCAGGTAAGAGAATGGTGTGAAGCCTCTCTCGTAATGAAAGAATTACTCCTACAACTGCTTTGACTGGGTCCATGAATTTAAAAAGCTTGACATAACTGCCTCCATTTTTCGTGTGTCTCTGCTCTAAGTCATTCTGCAGCCACATTGCAGTCACCTTAGATATAGGAAAGGGAAGGGCTGACTAATACCCCCTTACTCCTAAGGAAAAATAAAACTTCTTCAGGGCAGATAGATGATGATGATGATGATGATGATGATGATGATTTCTATGGAAGTTATTGGAACAAGGACTGAAATAATAGTCAATCAGACCTAAATCCTAACTAACTAAATAACTCTTGAGGGTGAAGACCAGAAGTATCTGTGTTTATCAAGTGCCAAATATACTTCCCCTTGACTTCACTAGAATTTCCAGCAAAGGATTGCTAGGAGACAACTGATGCTCTAAGGTTGATGCTTTTCAAAGGAAGAATTATTGATTTTATCTACAGCGTGGAAGATGGAAAAAGATACAGACTGATTTGGTTTGGATCATAGAGCATTGATACACAAATCATTGAGGTCTTTAATCTCACCCCCCACAGATCATCCTCTTTCATCGAGTTCAGAAGATTATTTCTCTCTCTCTCTCTCTCTTTATCTCTCTCTTCCCTTCCAACAACTCCCTTGTCACTGAAGGCCCTGGCCCTGGCCCAACCTTCCCTCCTGTTGGGGTCTCTGCATCCATCTGTGGATGCAGCACCTCCTAGTGGACACTTATCAGTCTGATTTAATCCTGGTCTTGAGACTCTGCCGTCAGTGTGTGAGACAGGGTCTGGGCATGGGAGGCCCTGCCTCCTGCTACCTACGTGGCTTTGGTGTCCGATGGACTATATGTGTCTTTACCAGACTTCCTCCAGGA